ATGACAACAATCTTGAGCTGATACAGTGAGAATCTTCAGTAAAATTGCTTCAGATCATGGAATAAATAGAGTGTTTGTTTTATTTTCAGAGTTGAGTAGAGAGTTTATGGTGAGGTTTCAATAATCCATTCGAACTTGTTATATGAAGAACTTGTAGTGCTGTACGTTCTGATGAGAACACGATTGATGAGGTGAAAACATTCATTTTTATGATCAATTCTACCATAGATTTTCGACTGCACTTCTTTGTTCGTAACACATTTTCATGGGAGTTTTCTCTTTGTGTTGCTGACATATGTGATTCAGCTGATATTTAGCTTGACCATTTTGTTGATGTGATTTCGGTGTTTTCGACATGACGAAATCTCAAGCTAATATACTGATCAAACTGTATTTCCTTTCCTTGTCAAGGACGCGCTAGTTATTAGTATATGGTAATGATCATGGTCAATGTCGAATCGACTTCTTAGGCAGACGTATTTATCCAAAGAAGTCAATTTCGGCTTTCTTGTTATTCATCTATCCACACTTTTTATCGAGCTGCAATACTATGATCAATATCCTTTCATATGAATTATACTTGAAACCACGTTTTGAAACGGTTGATAGCCCTATTAATAGACATCTAAGTTCAGGTAATTGCAATCTCACCAGTTTCTGCCACCTCTTTTGGCTTCACTTGTTAATTTATCGAGCAACATTTTCGCAACAACTCCAGGCACGGAGTGGCTGGGTTCGCCTACATTTGTTCTTATCACAGTTGAGCGTCTGTTGTCGAAATTTTATTGATAATTCCATATTTTCTATTCATCAGTTTTGTATAGATGATTTGAAATTTTGTTGGGGACGTTAAACGCCTAGAACTCGATTGATAAATGCATTGTTTTGAATTGGCGTTTGCGAGCATGGGCTGATCAGTTGACATTGCGATTTCATTTCCCACACGCAAAATCCATGTCTCCGATTGACTGCTGTGTATTTGACTGTTCTATTCTCGTAATTGTCTCAAGGACTTTTCGATGATGTATAAATAAATGAGAGTTGTGTGCTTGATTGTATTGTGATTGCTGGGTGTTTGTAGAATATACTTTCTACGCTTAAAAACCTTTCTATCTTCAGCTTGGGATTCAAGGTAGCGTATCTGAACGCTGGTGATCGTCTCGCACGCGTTTATCGACTGTGGTTAACTCGTATTAGCTTCAAGCGTACCTTGTGACGAAGCCTAATAATTCACCGTTTCATGACTTTCATATGAGCTAGTTTACGATACTTCAACTATTTGATTCATAAGGCATTGTTTACCGAATCAACATAATAACCGATCATAGTAACCATCCATTGTTTAACGGAATTACCTTCAGCTAACATTTAGTATATTTTTATCGTTGTCACACATAAACAATGATAGGTTTTACTATCTGAGATGAATTTATTCAAGACTTTCAAATCATGTTATTCAATGTACAGTTTATACTCTAGATCGTGGATTTCATTGGCTTCTATTATTATATATAGATTTCGTAGGACAGTTTGTCGTATGATTTATGAAACTCCACTCAGGGTATCACACAGAGAACTGTGAAACCGGTCATCGTCAGGTTCATGCTATCCACATCACGTTCGAGAATAACTAAACAGTTCAAATATTTACTCATATTATTCGATCAAAAAAGACAGTGAATTGCGGTTTCGATATCCTAGAACTACTGCGAGCGACTCTTATAATATACTGATATCAGGCCACATGTTCAGATCATTTCGATGAGAAAACAAAAGAGAGTTATCTATTAGAATCAGAATTATATCCATACATTCCTCATTTCCTTTGTGGATATAATATTGTTCTCATTTCAGTGACTATTTACTGAACTGTGTGAATGTTAGGTATCTGAAAATTTTAAAATCACTTATAAATCTCGAACCGTGCGCATATATGTTATCAACTCAGTACAATCGATTGAAACGCAAACTATGACTTGATTTGAAATGCACTAGTTAGTATCAATCACTGATAATTACTGTAAGCGAATCTGCATGAAGTTTGAGTAGAAAGTGCATACACTTGTAATGCAGTTCATCCGAGCTTGTTCCATCGATTTCGCAATCTAACAATTCGACTGTTTCACAGTTACGTTCACATGTAGATTACTTACTCCCCCAGTGCTCCCTTTTAATTTTATAATATGATATTTCAGTATAATATGTTCTCAGAGAAATCGTATCTGGGAATTTGAAAACGATTATGGTTTTCATTCACATAATACTGTTAGTTAACAAACCACATATAACAAGTCATAATCACTTTCAAATTTATCCAATTGAATGAGTAAAATATTTCAGATTTGCTGCTGAATTATGAAGTGTGAGAGCATTTGTATAATATGAGTGAGAATTGTGTAATATGACATTGATTTACATTGAGCATTTGATGAATGATACAAATTTTAAAACGATAAGAAATCGATGATAAGCACATATTTACTTTCTGGTATATGTTTGTAATAATTATCACATTTTTCAATGTTGTTATTATGTAGCATATCTGTAAGAAAATACAAACAATTTCAAAACGTATGATTGTAAATGGTGATGATAATATTCAGGGCATTCGCTCTTCAACAAATAAGAAATTTTTTCTCCTTCCTAATGTATATTAAGATTTAGAAATTAGCACAATAACATTTCACGATGCCGTATACTGAAGTGAGATCAACTGGTATTTATGGATTTGAAGTGTGAAAAATGAGATCATCACGTTTTGATAAAGATAACGCATCGTCGTTTTAACAAACAGATATATTCTGATTATTAGTAAATGTACTTTTTTCTTTGCAGTGCATGATAAAAAGATATGATTTGTAAATATGTAATCTTGATTTTATAGATAAAACCTACTCATGTAGAAAACGCTCATCGCGTTCTTTGTTAACTCAGTGTATTTCCATCGACGCACATCAATTTCCATTCGAAGTTCCTCTATAAAACCTAGTATTAAACTTTATAATAATTACATGCACACAACTATTTTGTGTCAAAAAAACATCATTCGGACAGAATTCAGCGAAATGAGAAGTATTCTTTATTTATACACGATGGACAAACATCATCTCAAGATTATAATTCAACCGCTAATTATGGTGATACAGCATTATCCCATATCCGTTACAGAGGTATGAGTTTTCAAGTAATCATAGCCATGGTAATATTTCGCGATGATCAAGATTACCTGCTTTGGATTTCACGACTCCTAAATGAAGATGTCGGGACATTTCATTAGACTCAGTAATGTGAGGTGTATATTTCGATACACTTTCTCACTCAATTTTTGGGGTTGCAGTGGAACTATTTTGTCGAAAAAACACCATTACTGACGTACAAATACTTATTATTGAACATATGTAACAATAACTGTTTATTGTACATCATTTGTTTATTTGTACTGAAAGTCATTATTGGAGCGCCACCCACGCAATCCCTGCGGATCTATTGATCGTTTCGTGTTATGATTGATTGTACAAGCTGAACACGTTATATTATTCTAATATCACTCGACTTTCTGTCAATAAAAGTCGATATCCTATATACAATCTTCTGTTCTGGAATAAGTGTGGGCGTGTAAACTTCACGACTCAACATTTTGGTGAACCCTTCGTCTACAACGCGCTATTAACTTGGATATCTTCGCCACAACACGATCAAACTTGGTGAGTCTGTCAGTTTTCTATCCATTTATCATATTATTTATTCTGTTGATTAAATTTTAATACTTATATATAATAAACTAGCAACAGCGATTTAATCTTAAGTAACAATGGATAGCGCTAAATGTACTGATATGACAGACTCCCAGATCCAGGTCCTTAATTTTCGACCTGTCTCCTTTATTCCCAACGATCCAGAGGCCTTGTTCGCGACACTGGAGGCTCAGTTCGAGATCTGTCGCGTAACGAACCAGCGGCTCATGTTTGCATATGCCCTGGAATCCTTACCTTGGGACCATATAGCGGCTGTCCGTGAGGTCGTCCTCAACCCCAATGCGCCAGATGCCTACAGTCGTCTCAAGGAGGCGATTCTCCAGCATTTCCTCCCATCGAAGGAGGAACGTTTGAGGACTCCTTTAGCACGTCACCTTATGGGTGATGCTAAACCTAGCCACCACCTCACACGCCTGCAATCACTAGCCGGACCGACAGCAGCTAATCAAGATATAGTCAAGGAGCTGTGGTTCGACTCATTACCAGCTCATGTTCAGCCTACGATCGCCGCCCTGCCCGAAGATATACCGCTAAGCCAAGTCGCACTAGTGGCAGTCAGAGTGATTGCACGAACCGGTCATCGAGACAACTATACTGTTGCGTCCACGTCACATACCGGCGTGGGCCTCGAGGCCAAACAGGGTAAAGCTCACAAGGATCAGGGTTGCTGTATACACAGCCGTCTCAGTTTTTCAGACCGTTCCAATGTACCTAAACCTTACGTCCGACGAGCTCGATCGCGATCGCGTAAGGCTGCAAGTACTCGCCCCCAGCGGGCATCTTCCTAGCCACGCCAATCAGCGGCTTCGGAATGGAATACCGGTTGGTGCTGTTTCCACCGAACTTTTAGGTCCGGCGCCCGCCATTGTCGACCTCCCTGCTCATACAAGGCGGGAAACTCCCAAGCCGGAGAGTAAAAGCGCCCCTACTCGCAAGCCACTTACCTCAGGTTGGCCGCCTATTTTACGTGCACGATATCCGCACAAACGCTAGGTACTTAGTTGACATCGGTGCCCAAGTTTCGGTCGTACCATTAGGTAGCAGCAAGTCACAACCTACAATAATTCGATTACGCGCTGCGAATAGCACTGTCATTCCTACCTATGGTACACGACAGCTATCGGTCAACCTGAGCGACCGACGACAGTATCTGTGGACGTTCATCATTGCCGATGTTCCCACAGCTATACTCGGTATCAATTTCCTACAGCACTATGAATTGCTAGTCGATTCACGTAGGCTGCAGCTAATCGATACTTCGTCGAACAGCAAATTTATGGGCTTTCGAGCTCATACAAATGCGTACCGAATAACAGGTTTATTTCATTCGCGTGATGACATTTTCCATGCTTTACTCGAAAAATTCCCTCAATTAACTAAACCACTCGAGGAGACTGCATCGGTGACCCGACATGTGGTTCATCACATTGTCACCCGTGGACCACCAGTCACGGCAAAGCCTCGCCGACTAGCACCGGACAAATTAGCTTTCGCTAAACGTGAGTTTGACAATTTACTATCTACTGGTATTATTCATCTTTCTCACAGTCCATGAGCCTCACCACTCCACATGGTTCGAAAGAAGGATGGGATAAGTTGGCGACCATGTGGCGAATACCGAGCACTAAATGTAGTCACGCGTTTCGATAGTCACCCCATCTCCCACATACACGACGTTACGGCATCACTCAAGGGCACGACTATCTATTCCAAGATCGATCTGGTACGGGCATACCATCAGATCCCAGTCGCCCCTGAGGATATTGAGAAAACTACTGTCACGACTCCTTTCGGTCTGTTTGAGTTCCTACGAATGCCATTTGGATTACGGAACGCTGCTCAAACTTTCCAGAGGTTTATCGATAGCATAGTACGAGACTTTGATTTTGTTCACGTCTATATTGATGACTTGGTAATCGCATCAACAAACGTAGATGAACATTATCAACATCTTAAACTCTTATTCCGACGTCTCTCAGATAATGGAATACTAATCAACCCAGATAAGTGCGAACTCGGCAAAGCAGAAATAAAATTTCTGGGTCACGTTATTAGGCATGAGGGTATTCTACCATGTGAAGATAAAGTACGTACAATCATGGAGTACACTGTACCGTCTTCACTCAAAGAACTGAAGGCTTTACTCGGTTTGGTCAACTTCTATCGACGTTTCATTCCTCACGCCGCGGAACGGTTACGACCACTAACCGATCTACTTCGCGGGAATCCACGTAAACTAGAATTGAACGATGACGCGCGTACTGCATTTTCCGAAATTAAAAGAGCTTTGGCTCAAGCCACGCTCCTCGCCCACACCGACTCATCAGCCACGCTCAGTATAGTGGTTGATGCATCCGATTTTGCTATAGGAGCCGTCATGCAACAAAACATCTCTGGAAGTTCGAAACCTTTCGAATTTTTCTCACGACGCCTTACTACCACGGAGATGAGAAATAGCGCTTTTAGTCGCGAACTGCTAGCAGCCTACTGTGCCATCGAACATTTTCGGCACGCAGTAGAAGGTCGTAACTTTATCCTTTTTACCGACCATAAGCCTCTAACGTATGCTCTTCATACAAAATCTGACCGCTACTCACCACGAGAGTGCAGACATTTGGACTGTATCTCTCAGTTCACGACGGACTTTCGTCATATTGAAGGCGAGTCGAACTACGTTGCCGATGCTTTGTCACGTAATCAAATGAATGCAGTTACTTTACCAGTGCTCGATCTTTCTACTTTGGCCGCCGCCCAAGCGAACGATCCTTCTTGTTCAGAAGCACAACAAACCACATACCTTCAGTGTCAGGAAGAGCCCCTAGCTACTACCTCAAGCACTATCCTGTGTGATACCTCTAACGGTCTACCTCGACTCATCGTACCCTCTGCTTATCGTCTTCTCGTCTTCGATGCCCTTCATGGTCTGTCTCATCCAGGTATCGCAGCTACATTACGTCTCATCGCTGCACGATACGTCTGGCCTTCCATGAACAAAGATGTCTGTATGTGGGTGAAGCAATGCTTACAATGTCAACGATAAAATTGCACAGGCACGTAGCCGCCCCCATCTGCACATTTGCTACGCCTGATGCTCGCTTCGATCACGTTCATATTGACATTGTAGGACCATTACCACCATCGCATGAGTATGATCACATACTCACGTGCATTGATCGTTTTACAAGATGGCCCGAAGCTATTCCCATCACCTCTATTACGGCGGAAATAGTCGCTCACCGCTTTGTAGAACGATGGATAGCTCTGTACGGTTGTCCCTCGACTGTCACAACTGACCGAGGACAACAATTCGAGTCCGAACTATTCTCCTCGCTAACTCGGCTGCTTGGTACGAAGCGCATATGCACTACCACCTACCACCCAGCTTCAAATGGTTTAGTCGAAAGGTTTCATCGCCAACTCAAAAACGCTCTTCGAGCACACGAAAACAACAATTGGTACGAAACCTTACCGCTCGTCCTTCTAGGCATCTGAACGAGCTTAAAGGCAGATATTCAATGTTCCGCCGCTGAATCGGTATACGACACGACATTGCGTCTGCCTGAAGAATTTTTCACACCAAGGAGCAGTGATAACTTCAATAAATCAGACTACGTCCAACGACTGTCTGCATTTATGCGAGCACAGCCTCCGGTATCAACTCCAGTTCAACATCGACAGGTTGCTCTCCCCCGAGAGTTATCTACCTGCTCACATGTTTTATTCGAGTCGAGTCGAGACGCAAACCTTTGCAACAATCTTACGAAGGACCTTTTCACGTGATTTCTCGTCACGAAAAGACCTTCAAGGTTGCTCGACATGGCTGCGTCGAGATAGTCAGCAGTGATCGTCTCAAGCCAGCACACGTCGATGACAGTGCCCTACTTGCTAATCCGAGACACAATGCTTCACCTAGCGAGATCCTTAAAACTACCCCGGACCCCACGCTAGCGAAATCAGAAACCTCATTCTCACGTCCTAGTCAGCAGCACGCGCCATCTGCACTATATACGGATGAGACTCAGGTCTCACGTCCAGATCAGCAGACCACGCCGCACTGGACTGTGGATGAGAATGCAGGCTCACAAGGTACGCACGAGGCTACTCTCTCGCTTTCCGGTCGCCGCGTAGGTCTACCTGTACGCTTTCTCGAATAACTACTAATCGTACACAGGGGCGACATAGGATTTTACCATCATACTAAACACATGCTACACTTTTTCTCCTTTTCTTTAATTTTTTTTATCCCGAGCATATACTTCCGACCATTGTCCTGTTGGTACCGTCGACTTCAGTCAACCTTGGCGAAATCCGGCCTGATCACACACGCTCTAATCAATGCACTCAGTCTATCTTCTGGCTACGAATATATCTAGTATACGAATGGTTTCGCATTGGTTCCGTCCTACGTCTGCAGCTTTATTTGGTCCGGAGCCCTACGAACGCAATCATCAGACTCTGGATACAAGCCACGCTGGTGTGGTATGCTAATCCGATGAACAAACTTGGAACGTAATTATTGGCACGGCAGCGGACAAACTCTAGGTGACAACTCGAGCTTCATCAGTCGCTTCCTGTCGTCAACCATTCTGCCCGTCAACCGAATTTCGGTCGAACAGCCCCCTGGACGAAGCCGCTATTTATCGAAACTGTAAAACCCTTTTTAGCGGAGGGCTCCTGTAGTGGAACTACTTTGTCGAAAAAACACGATTACTGACGTACAAATACTTATTATTGAACATATGTAACAAAAACTGTTTCATTGTACATCATTTGTTTATTTGTACTGAAAGTCATTATTGGAGCGCCACCCACGCCATCCCTGCGGATCTATTGATCGTTTCGTGTTATGATTGATTGTACAAGCTGAACACGTTATATTATTCTAATATCACTCGACTTTCTGTCAATAAAAGTCGATATCCTATATACAATCTTCTGTTCTGGAATAGGTGTGGGCGTGTAAACTTCACGACTCAACAAGGTTTTTACACTTTCACACTATTCGCGAACACTGAGTTTGGTCCAGTGAATTTTGATTTGAAGTTTTTGTACAGGAAAATCTAGATTGCAGTATTGTATCGATTACATTAAAAAACGTTTTACTTATTGTAATAGCTACAAAACAACAAACGGCTGAATCCTATCCGTGATTGTTAAATACAGCCATGTGAATACTGTCAAATGATATAGCAAATCTCTATGGATCCAGGTGATCCGTCTAATCACGTGTGTATTAGAAACTACTGAAGAGTGTTGTTTTATGATCTACTACCGAGTGAGCGGTCACCAATGTATTGTGAGTGCGATTTTTTGACGTGTTTTGATATTTATTCATGCATAGCTTTATTATTGTGAATGAAAGTTATACTTTTGTGATCCAACCAACATCCTGCTCATGTTGCCAGTAAAAGAGGAGCAAAGATTTATAAGTAGTGGGACAATCTTATATTTTTTCTTCACCATAGTCACGCAGTTATTATTCTGCATCCCCATCGTCGAATTCCTAATACATTCTACTAACTCAGTCAATCTGTTTGGAATAAATGCTGCGATAAATGTTCTAAGCAATAGAGTTGTGAACCTCAAAACATTTGTGCTACATAACTGTACGTCTACAAAGCTTGGAAAAACTCATTCGGAAGTACACGTGCCTGTTATGTGCCCAAATGTAACTTACATTGAGTTTCACATCGTATCAATTTCTAACATCAGCTACCGATAATTTATGATAGTGCAAACTATGTTAATTTTCTTCTTCACCAAAGTCACATCAATACAGTATGGAATTACATTTTCTTGCGAAATCGATGATTTGTAGGTCAAATATTTGTAATTAGGTACAGTGTTCTTTGAAAATAGTGAATACAAATCGTATGCCAATGTGCATACAATTCCACACAACTACATAATCATATTTTATTAACTCTATAACTATACACTTGGCAGTGCGTGTTTTTACTTTAGTCCATGCCAGAGCTCTATTAGACTGGTACTACATAATCGTATTTTTTATTGGCTCTAATATTCTACACTTATCAGTTCCTTTTTAACATTACGCCATATTGTGATTCAAATAAATTGTGATTTTGAAAGAAAATATGGCTTTTCTTCAGAGTGGTAACTGTGCTTTAATTAGTTTTCTGCATAAATAATATAGCGTTTGTAATTGTTTTTCTATTCATTATTGTTTGTTATTGAAAATACGACAGAACTCGCTTGATAAATATCTTAATTTCGGAATAATTTCATGCATCGATCAGTTGATTTTCAGAAAAAATATTTAGCTATTATTGGTTACTGTGGAATTATATAGTGCTTTGAAGTTCAAACATTTCGAGAAATGAAGTTTCCGTTTGATTTATTCTAGTGAAATAATAATTATGCGTCTTAAGTAGTAGGCATCAAGCTGAAACTTAAGAAAAGTAATCGTCAAATAGAATTCAACAATAGATCTTATCTATAATATACCTTGAAAGAAAGCATAAACATTGAAACTTGGAATAAGATCTGAAATAGAAACCGTTTGCAGAATGGCTTTTCTGAAAAAGCCTGATAGGGTTTTGAAGTCTTGAATTGTACGAAGAATCTGGTACGATGAATGTAATATTTCCGGAGTGAAAATTATAACCTACCAGACAGGTAACTTGCGAACGACATTGCAACGGAACTGAACACACATACTTGGCGAAAATAAGTCAACGTTCTGTTTAAGCAGTTGCCAGAACTTTGAAAGAGTATTGCTTGCACTGGCTTCTGGTTTATGAGAAGCCTGAATCCCTTACTGTAGGGAAACTAGTAGAAAGTGCATACAGCTCAACCAATGAAAACAAAGTCTTTCTCTATCTGGCTGTATTTCATCTACGCCGCGGTCCATGTGCGGAATTCATGCTGAATGGCTTCTTTTGATAGATCTGAATTAGACGATTCTTATTTGTGAGTGGAAATAGATAAGGCATCAAGACTGTTTCCTACTATAAATACTCATCCTGTTTCGTTATAATTAAACCGTCCGATTTCGCGAGAGAGGTCTGCACAATCCATCTTCCAGCAGTCTAAAGATATCATCCAATCTTGTTTCGCAGTTATTGTGACCGACGCACTCAGCAACTATCACATTCAGATGCACCATCAGGAATTCATGATGATCATTGAGTGTTTGTCGAAGTGCTTTGAAATGGTTAATTATCAGCTCCATAATGCCACTTGCGACAACTAAATCTAATAAGCTCGTCACTGGAATTTTCCCATGAAACAGTCTACAAACGTTCATCTTATCTGACAATGTGTCGCGATTATTCTCTACTTGATTCAAGCATTTAGTCTACAGCAAGTCATCTGTGACCTACGCTCGTCATTATATCATAACCAGTCGAACAAATAATTGAAAAGATTCGTAGATGCGTTTGAAAAGCATAGTTTATTTCACTACATCAGCTTCAGCGTTGCAAAGTTAATTATACATTTCTCGACATCAACCAAATGTGAAGACTGAAAACGACCAACAGCCCTGTGAACACTGAACTAAACACGATCTATGTTGAGAAGGGTGAGTGATCATATGAATTGACTGTGGCATGTATCAACTACAGGTTGGGGATGGCAGATGTTCGTGACATGGCAAGCACATATGCTAACAGCCTGCTTCAGATCGCTCATTAAGTGAATGTACACCTCCTCCTGACATTCTACAAGATACTTTCAACTATTCGGGGGCCACAAAACGAGACAAAGCTGAACAAACAGCCGATTTACATTCCAGTACGTGGCCACATCAATAGCGTCGATGAGTACATTTCAACTAGTTATGAAGATTCGCGAATTCGTTCATCTGATGATAAATGTCAAGAAACAGTAGCATTCTCACTGCAACAACAGCTTAGCTGTCGTGAAAAATCAATCTTTCAATAACCGATTCACACGTTTCACTAGACAAATGAAAGTGAATGCCTGTTATATGATGTACAAGTGAATTACGTTTGTGTACTGCATTTGATTCCTGTGTTGTAGTGGCTCGTGCGAAATGTGTCACCGTATGCCTTAGGATTTCTCTTCAGGTGTATATTCAGTTTATTTTTGTGTGCTTCATCCATAACATCGTTTTAACATGAATGATTCAGAACAGTGATGCGATTTTGAAATGAATGTACTAATATATTATAATTCAACGTAATTTAAAGGAGAAGTCATTTTTATTTGAAAAACATTTTAAAATATTTATTTAATAAAAAGAAAACAACTTATTGATTAATTATTACGGTTACAACAATCTTCAATAATAATTTATCCGTTGCTACATTTCACACCGTCGTTACGTCAGGCTTATTTGAATATTTGTTAACTGAAAAAGTGTAAACGCGTTATAATAAAAAATGGAAAATTATTTTAATTTCTCTGCAGAACAGTAATTTAAATGCTTTTCTCTTATCTTTACTCATGTCAGAATATTTTCAAAGGACTCTACGTTAAATCGCAATTCCTTTTTCAATTATAACGGTTACAAATTTGGAGTTTTCTACTTACATATTTCATCATCTAAATCTTTCATCATACCATAAATAGCTAGGAATAAAAACAAAATATCAATAAGTGGTAATGTGAAAGAAAGCAGAAAGAAATTTTTTATTTGCAATCTAACGATTTGACTGTTTTACAATTACGTTCACATGTAGATTACTTACTACTCCAGTGCTCCTTTTTAATTTTATAATATGATATTTCAGTATAATATGTTCTCAGAGAAATCGTATCTGGGAATTTGAAAACGATTATGGTTTTCATTCACATAATACTGTTGATTAACATACCACATATAATAAGTCATAACCACTTTCAAATTTATCCAATTGAATGAGTAAAATAT